GCCCTTGCCATGCCATCATTAGGCCCACCCGCGAGAACGTCATTGCCACTGTCTCTCTGTCCCTCCCTCGAGTGCCCCCCAGCCCAGCACTGAGTCCCGGTTCCTATGTCTGTGCCCTCAGAGCAACCCAAGATCCGGCTCCCGCGTCACCTCCGCCAGACTTACGTCCGCAAAGTGGGGGAACACCTCAACCTCGTCATCCCCTTCCAGGTGCGCCGAGCTGGGGTCGGGCTCAGAGGGTCAGGGCCAGGGCGAGACCCGGGCTGACCTCTCTGCTCCTCTTCCCTCCGCCCCCGCCCAGGGAAAGCCCCGGCCCCAGGTGGTGTGGACGAAGGGCGGGGCGCCGGTGGACCCCAACCGCGTGCACCTGCGCACCGGCGACTTCGACACCGTGTTCTTCGTGCGCCAGGCGGCGCGCTCGGACTCAGGGGAATACGAGCTGACCGTGCAGATCGAGAACATGAAGGACACTGCCACCATCCGCATCCGGGTCGTGGGTGCGCGGCCAGCTGGGGCAGGGGGGAGGCACTGCGGCCCAGGAACCGGGAAGCGAAGAGACTGGGATGGAAAAGAGGGTGCGAGGTGGGGATGGCGCCAAAAGGCGAGGAAGTGGGAGTGGGGAAAAGCCTAAGCGATATCAGAATCCGGGGGCCAGGTGAGGGGGGCAGAGATGGGGAGAGGAGGCGAGGGGCGGACGTCTGACAACCCCCACCCCCATTCCAGAAAAGGCAGGACCAGCAGAGAACGTGATGGTGAAGGAGGTGTGGGGCACTAACGCGCTGGTGGAGTGGCAGCCTCCCAGAGATAATGGGAACAGTGAGATCACAGGGTATCTTGTCCAGAAAGCCGACAAGAAAACCATGGTGAGACCCCAGAAGGGCCCGGGGTGGGGTCGGCCAGATGGTCAGAGTAGACGCCATTGTTTCCGGCTCACAGCCGGGAAAGGGAAACCGAGGCTTGGAGAGATTGGGAGCATGGGCTGGGGCTGGGAGGGAAGCTTTTTGGCTGAAATACGGTGCATGATGCGTTTTCTTTTCTTTTTTTTTTTAACTAAGGTAAAATTCACATAAAATTAAGCATTAATGTTTTTAAAGCTTTTAGTCCATTCCCACTGTTGTGTCACCAGCACATCTAGTTCCAAGACATTTTCATCCCCCCGAAAGGAAACCTCGTACCCATTAAGCATTCACCCCCACCCCAACCCCAGGACCACTAATCTGCTTCCTCTTTTTATGGATTTACCTACTCTGGACATTTCATATAAATGGGATCATCCAGTATGTGGCCTCTTGTGCCTGGCTTCCTTCACTCAGCATAAAGTTTTCTGGGTCCACCCACATTGCAGTGTGGATCAGTGCTCATTCCTTTCCGTGGCTGAGTGATGGTCTGTGGTTTGGATGTACCACGTTTTACTTCTCCATTGATCTGCTTGGGGTGTTCCCACCTTTTGGGCCATTGTGAACAGTGCTCCTGTGAACGGCAGGTTGTCTTAGTGGACTCATACTTTGGTGTGCTTTGCTCATGCCCCGGTCCTTCTTGTGTCTGTGTCCCTGTGTCCAACTCTCCCGGCCCCTCCCTGCCTCCCCCCCCCCCGCCCCCCCCAGGAGTGGTTCACTGTCTATGAACACAGCCGGCACACCTCCTGTACTGTGCCTGACCTCATCGTGGGCAACGAATACTATTTCCGCATTTTCAGCGAGAACATCTGTGGGCTCAGTGACTCACCTGGCATCTCCAAGAACACAGCCCGGATCCTCAAGACAGGTAGTGCCACCCCACTCCCTGGGGTCCGGTCTCCTCTCTCTGCTGGGGTTCTACCTTGACTCCTCCCCCCACCCCCAGACTCAAAGCTGATGGCACCTGGTGAGAGAGGAGAGGCAGTCAGGGGCCAGTCCAGATTGGTCACCTGACAGGTGCATCTTGCTTTCGCCAGGTATCACCTTCAGGCCGCGTGAGTACAAGGAGCATGACTTCCGAACACCTCCCAAGTTCCTTACGCCTCTCCCAGACCGGGTGGTCGTGGCTGGTTACACTGCAGCCCTCAACTGTGCAGTCAGAGGCCACCCAAAGGTGCCGTGTGTGCGCGTGCATGTGTGCACGTGACCCTAGAGGGAAATCTTCACCCAGATGCAGCCACACCACCTCTTCCCCCTCTGACTTCTCTCTCTTCTGTTCATGGGATTTACTCACTTTTAACCCACTTCCTGTCTCTCGCCCCTTCGATCAGAGCCCGAGCCTCAGATCATTACACTCTGGCTTCCCTCGGAAACAGAAAACTTTGGCGGGAGTTGGGAGGATGTCTGAACCTCCGGGGCTCCCCGCATCTTCTGCTCCGTCCAGTTTCCCGACCGCTGTTGGGAATGTGGACACTTGCAGCCTTGAGCTCCAGTGGCTCACCGGGACCAGGGCTGGCAAACGAGGGCTCGTGGGCCAAATCTGCTTGCCACCAGTTTCTCTAAATAAGCACGTTATTGGGACGCGGCTCTGCATGCTTTAGTACTGCCTGAGGCCACAGAGACCACAGAGCCTGCACGGCCTGAAATACTGACTACCTGGCCCTTTACAGATGAAGTTTGCCGACTTCCGGTCTAACTCCAAGTTCTCAGCTTCACCCCCCTAGGCACACCGCGGATTCATGAGTTCACCTCCTCCATCTCCATCTACTCACTTTATTCACGAATGTACTCATTTATTCATTCCGCTTATTTACTCACCTACCAATCCATTCATTTACTCGGCTCATTTATTCACTCCGTTTGCTTATTTACATCACTCACTCTCGCAGTCTGTTTATTCTTTCAACACACATTTTCAGAGGCTGTGTGTGCTGGTGAATTGGACAGGAAGTTCCTGGATGTTGGGGGAGACCAACGTGAATCCGAAGTCATGCAAATGACTATAAAACCATGAAGGGTGGGATGCAGGTCAGAGCTCGGAGGGTAGTTGGGAACATACAGTGGGCATTCCTGCTGCAGCCTAGCGGCCCGAAATGACGTGTGAACAGAGATCTGAAAGATAAGCCGGTGCTGATTAGGGGAAAAGAGGAGGGAAGAGCAGTATTGGAAGAGGGAACAGCCAAGGTCCTGAGGTGGGAGCCTGTTGGGTCTGTTTGAAGAAGAGTGAGGAGGCCCGTATGGATGGAGCAGAGGGAGGGAGCGATAGGATGGGGTGAAGGCGGAAGAGTAATGGGGCCAAATCACGTAGGGTTCTGTGGGCCAAAAAAAGAGAGTGAGCTCTTCCTCTCACAAAGAGGAGACTGAGGGTCAGAGAGGAGAAATGACGAGTTCAGGGTCACCCAGTCAAAATTAGGGGGGAGCACAGCCAAGAATTGAATCCAGATCTGCCTTCCAAAGCCCACTTTGCCATCATCCAGGAAACTTCCCTAAGCTGGCCTCTTCTCCCACTCTGCTCAACAGCCAAAGGTGGTCTGGATGAAGAACCATGTGGAAATCCGCGAAGATCCCAGATTCCTGATGACCAACTACCAGGGAGTCCTGACGCTCAACATCCGCCGCCCATCCCCCTTTGACGCGGGGACTTACTCCTGTAGGGCTGTCAATGAGCTGGGGGAGGCACTGGCCGAGTGCAAGCTGGAGGTCCGAGGTGAGCCCCTGGCTGCCCCTCACTCCTGCTCTCACATAGTTACCCAGAGCGCAAAGCTGAGTCAGACCGGGGCCCCTAGGCGTGTAATGAGGAAGCCAGATTCAGACCCCAACAAGAACGATGCAGGGTGACATGTGCACAGGGCATTGTAGGGGTGGGGCTGGGGGAGCACCTGATCCAGCTGGGGCAGTCGTCTGAGGAAGTTTTCCAAAAGGAGTTGAAGGACAGATAAGAAGTGAATGAGATCGAGAAGAGCTAGCAGATGATCACCAAGGCTCTGGTGGGCCTGGCCTATGTGGGGAGATGGGCGGGCGCCCAGAAAAATGCCTCTCCTCCCCAAGCTCTGTCCCTCCTCTCTACCCTTCAGCCCCAGCCCTGATCACCACTTCCTCTGGAATTCTTGCTGGCCTCCTCCCTGGCCTCCCTGCCTCTCATGTCTCCCTCCATCCCACCCCCCCACAGGGCCCTAGGGGGCTCTCTATCCAGCGCTGACTTGCCCTTCCCTTGCCCGTGGCCTTCCCCAGGCTCCCCAGCAGCCCTGGAGCCCCTCTGCCTGGTGTCCATGGTCCTGAACCTTCTCCCACATGCCCTGCTCTGGGGGGCCATTTTCCTCAACACTGTTCCAGCCACACCAAGCTGTTGGCAGTTGGACAAACTGGCCGTGCTTTCTCTTGTCCCTGGGACTTTGCACATGTTGTTCCCTCTACCTGGAATGCTTTTCCTCACCTCCTCTGCTGCAGCCCATCAAACTGCCAGTCAAGGCTCACTGGAGAGGCTGCTACCCAATTCCCTCAGATGTGACTGATGCTAATATGGGCTTCCAGTGTCCCTCCCCAGTTGTGACTCCCCCTGGCCCTGATGACCACCCAGAAGACAGAAGTGGCCGTAGACCCTTAACAAGCGAGACCACCCCCTAAGCCTTACTGGCTGTCATTCTGAACACTGCTCTTCCAGGCTGACTCAATTTCTAATGTTTTGCTATCCCCTTTATTAGTTACTGAATCAGCTTAGAAATATCCCTACTTTGGGATTCCAGTGACAGCCTGTCACCAGCAGCTGCTTAGAAATCCCTGATGAGAACATCCCAGTTTGGGGTTCAAAGCTACAGGAATCACAGACTCCATGACAGTGGTTTGACTGCCCCACGGAGATGTGAAGGATCAATGTGCTCCCCCTGATAGCCGTGTGAATCTAGCTGGCAAAGGAGCCTGGGGCTGGGGCACAGAGACTTGGGAAGCCCAGCCCACCTCATCCACTCTTTTCTCATTTCCCCCCCCCAGTGCCACAGTAAGACTGTCTTCCACCTGCCAAGATACTGGCTGCTGGGTCCTAACCTAGACCTCCCTGAACACTGTTTCCCTTTCCAGAGTTACTACTGAGAAGATAATAGTCTTGTCTACAACCTGTGTGTGTCTGTCTGTCCTTCTTGAATTTGTAGCTCGGCCTCCTCCTTCCCACAGGGGCTTAGTCACCTGGGGGTGGGTGATGGGGACAGCAAATTGGAATGGCAACCATGATAAGGCAGCCCTGATGAAACAGACCACGTTGAGGCCTCCATCTTGGAATAGCTACTTTAGGGACGCTACCATGTTGCCATGGCAATTACAAGTCACAGGTGAACCACGACCTTGTGGAGGCAGCCCTCTGGGACTAGCTGCTATGAGCGGGAAGGAGGCAGGCTAGCTTCAGTGGCAACTACGATGAGTTAAAGAGGAACCAAAGCCCAGATGGGGAAGACTACTCTGGTGAGGTAGCCATGATGGAATGGTGGGCACTAGGTCTCATGGTGGCCCGGGGAGCCCCACACGATGAACTGAACACCATACTGAGGCAATGTTGAATTAGTGATGTTGACAAAAGTGCTCATGACCTGCTTGTTCTTAAGTTCTTAAGTGGCCGATCTTTATTAATTTTAATAATTCATCTTTCTGGCCCTGAGGTAGGGTACTTTGATCTCTGGTCCTTTTGTGACCTTACGGATATTGGAGGAATCAGAGTCCCCAGAGTTCAGAGGTCTGTGGGTCAAGTCTGGCTTCCATGGCTTGAAGCTGAGTATAAGAAAGAGTGTCTCAGAGGCCTTGACCTGCAGATGTATTGGCAGTTTTGGGATGGGTGGGTGGGTGGGGTGACTTTGTACTTACCTGGAAGGTGGGGAGAGTGGGGTGTCTCCAGAGGAAGAGGTTTCAATGCCCCACCTTCAAAGATTGGTGCTCCTCCCCTCCCCAAGGCCTTCTAGGGAATGGGTCATCTGGTCTGACCCACCCTAGCCCTTCAAGGCCCAGGTGTCCCCTCCCCATATTCCACCGAAGTAGGTCAAGGGGAGAGAGGCTGGGGGATAGGGGTGCCCAATAGGGAACTATATAGCCACCTTGGCTAGTGTACCCAAGGCCCTGCAGACCCTGCCTTGAGATCTTGCTGTGTCTACACAGAGATTTCATACCCTTTCAGGACTCAGGAGTCGGTCCTTCCTAGGTGCCGGGCGCTCTGAACACAGGAATCCAGGCCCCCAGCCCTCCCTCATACTCAGGAGTCTAGGTCCCCAGCCCTACCTCCGGGTAGTCCAAATTCCCGGCGGCTTCCTTCCCCCCTCCCCCACGCCCCCACCTCCGCCACCCCCCCACCCCGGAGTCCAGCCCCAGCCCCGCCCCCTCCCCGCCCCACCTCCTCCTTGGCAGCCCCCCCCCCCACCTCCTCTCGCTCTATCGGATCTTCGTCCTCGTCGTCCTCGCCATCCTCCACCGTCGAGTACTCCTGCGTGAAAGGCACGGCTCCCTCGGCCGAATGGAAGCGCAGGCGGTACAGCAGCCGCACCCACTGGCCGAACTCGCGGTCTCGGGTCTCGGCCGGGGCCCGCAGCTGCAGGTAGAAGGCGCGGCCGGTGCGGAACTTGACCTTGAGTTGCCAGCGGCTTTCGTCGTGGACGAAGAGCTGGACGAACTGCAAGGGGAACAGCCTGGGAGGGCGGAAGGGGCAGCCTCAGGTTCTGACGCTCCCTGGCTCGGCACGGTGATTTCCCGCCTAGGCGGCGGCCTCGGCCTTCGCCACTCTGTTCCCACGCGGCCGCCAGAGGGCGCCGGCCAACACCCAAGTTCACGTCCCTCCCGTGGCCCCGAGTAAAAGCGAAGTCCGCAGCACCTTCACCACCAGACCCTGCAGGATCTGCCTCCTCTGTTTACCTCTCTGCTCACTCTCTCACTCACTCAGCCCCGGCAACACCGGCCTCGTTGCTGTTCCATAAACCTACCAGGCGAGCTCCAACCTCAGGACCACTGCACAGGCTGGGAAATCTTCGTCCAGCCAGCCCCGTGGCTTGGCCCTTCATCTTGTGTCTTTCTCAAGAAGCGCCTTCTCTGGGAGAAGGTCTGTTTACAACCCGTGGCTTACTTGCAACCATGTCCACCCTTGCAGACCTCCCCACTCCCTCTACCCCATCTGATATGTCTCCACAGACCTTACCCCATTGGACAAGTTGTCATTTATTCTGTCTGCCTTCCCAGAGGGGTTGTTTGAAGACAGAGATTTTGGTCCCATTTTGTTCGCCGCTGTTCCCCGAGTACCCAGAGCTCACACATGGCAGGTGCTCAATGGATGCTTGTTGAGAGGGTGGATAATTTGGCCCAGGTCACACAACAGGGATTTGAACCCAAGTCTTATCCACGTTCTTACCCACAACACGGGGCAGCCATATACCACCCTCTGGCCCAGCAATACTACCTCTAGGAATTGATCTTACAGACACTCTCACGCCTGTACCCATGGATGCCCTCTGCCTACCACACTGGCTATAATCTCAAGACACCAGGCACAACACTATTGTCAGTTAGATAGGTGGCTCCATCTGTTATGACATTCCCCAAATGGCAGAATAACAGTTGATGTTTACAAAGCGCTGACCCCGTGCCAGGGGCTGTTCTAAGCACTTCACAACATTTACTCAGTTTAGCCCCTGACAGCCCTAGAAGGTGGGCTCTCCTCTTATCCCCATGTTCCAGATGGGGAAACCGAGGCACAGATAGGTAGGGAACTTGGCTAAAGCCAGTGAAGAAGAGGTGAAGCCAGGATTTGAACCCAGGCAGGATGGTAACAGCACCAGATGCAAGCTTGGGGTCCAAGCTCGTGTATGTCCAAAAAAGGATGTGGTGGTTGTACTTATGTTGATATGAAGTGAATGTTGATATAGTGCTGAGGAGGGAATAAGCAGAGTGGAAAAGTAGCATGCACCTGCAGCTGGTTTTAAAGGAAGGGCGAACACCCACAATATGCTTATCCCAACTGGCCCAGGCTAGCTCCAAGCTGCAAAGCAGGTTAGAAGTGAGGAACTAGGGGCTGAGTGAGTCTTGATGCTTTATTTGCAGAGCAAGCTCAGTGTTTTTACCTTGACGGTATGTTTATTTGGGGGACAGTGTTGAAGGAGATTATGGGGGTTCCAAGCACCCCTTGGCACTGTCCTTAGTCTCCCTCCCACTGAAGGTCATGACTCAGTGAGCAGTGAGGTCAATTGGTGGGATAGATTAGCACTGAAAGGAAAAGGAGCAGTGTAGAAGAGAAAATGCCCCGGTGCACCGTAAGGCGTCAGCATACTGCTTTGTGGAATGTTCTAAACTTCTACAGGGGCAATACATAAAGGCTGTAAGTAGCCTTCATTTAGTTAGGTCAGAATCAGATTCTGCCATCAAGTGGGTTGCAAAAGAACTTTTTAGATTTCAGAACTGCAGACAAAGAACTGTGGGCCCCTTTGAGTGTGTGTGTGTGTGTGTGTGTGAGATGTGAGTCTTGCTCAGTGGGGAGCCTGCTTCTCCCTCTCCCTCTCCCTCTGCCATTCCCCCTGCTTATGCTCTCTGGCTCTATCTTTCTGTCAAATAATAAATAAAATCTTAAAAAAAAAAAAAAAGAATCATGAGATCAGTAAGGATGAGGTACCTGAGATTCCAATCCCAACCCAACCCCTGAACCACTGTGGGTCTCTGGGTAATTGGCTCCCCTCTCTGAGCCTCGGTTTATCTCTTCAAAGGATGGGGCTAAGGGGCCCCACCATGTGAGTATGTCGGAGATGAGGTTACCTGCATGGCCTACAGGGTGCCGGGTATGCGGCAAGTACTGCATACATGCTTATTCTTCTGATCCTTGCCAGGGCGAGGCTGAGGACTGTCCCTCTCATGTCCATCTATCTCTGATTTCTAGCCCCCATGGATTGCCCTCCCCTTGTTCCCCTGGGTGTACAGCAGCCCAGTGGGCTGGCCGCCATCCAAGACTCCTGGCCCTGGGAGTCATCTGTGTGAGAGGAGGTGCTGCAGGGAGGGGGCCCAGGATGCCCAGAGCTGGGGATGGAGGAGGTCTAGGCTGGAATGGGGGCAGTCACCCAAAGAGCTGCAGGTGTCCGTTATCCTTGGCAGGGCCGGCCAGCAGCAACAGGTCAGGGAGTTCCAGGGCTGGGCTGGAGGCTGCCACCCCCATGGTGACCTTGTTGGCGACTTCTCCTACCCGGGTCACCTGGGGCCAGGGGTGAGAGGTTAGAAGGCAGACAGATGGAAGGCAGGATTGGTGGGATTAAGGGTCATGAGCCAAGTGTATTAAACACCAAGTCCGGGGTCAGATATCCTGGGGTCAGAGGTCAAGAGTTATCCGGGTGTGAAGTCAGGGAAAATGAACCAAGGAAATCAGAGGCGAGGGTTCACAGAGAAGCTAAAGGTCTAGAAGCATGGGGGTGGGGGTTGACCCAGAATCCCAGGAGATGAACTTTATAGGAGAATGGTCAGAAGTCGGCAGAGCAGGGGTTCCCCAAGTCAGGACAGGGCTCAAGCCCAGGCTCGGTATCAGGGGGTTCTGGGGCTCCACACCTGCACAAAGTTGCTCTCAAAGATGGGGAAGTCTCGCAGCTGGTCGAACTCGCCGCTCAGGAGGTGGCGTTGGAGCCGTCCGGGCCGGCCCGTGGGATAGGCTGGAACCAGGGGGCATTCTAGAGAGGCGAAGTTCGAGGGGTCAAGTCCAGGAGACTGGGCCGGGGGCCCCCAGCTGGTAGGGCCCAGGGAAGTCCCACTCTGAGGGTAGGGGAATCTGGGCTATCAGTCTTCGTATCGTCGGCCCCATCCCTCACCTGGTGCAGCGCCACCAGGCCCGGCTCCGCCTCTCGCCTGCCGTCCCACCCGGTCCCTCCTCACCTGTTCCACTGGGGGCCAGCTTAGCCTCGTGCCCCCGCATCATCGCAACGCCCCGCCCCATGGGGAGAGCAGAGGGAGGTGCCGGCGGAGAAAACCGGTGGGTGGGGCCGCGGGCTCTATCACGTCACAACTCGGCAGACCCGCTTTAACGTCACCGAAGAGACGCCCGTTGTTGTGACGTCATCATAGGGGCGGTGCCCAGAGACCTCGATGAAACTGTAGCCACCCGGCTGACGTCATACCCCTGGGGGCGCTAGTGCGCATGCGCAAAGAACTGGCGCAGGCGCATGGGCGTGCCGCTCCATAGCGCCCGGCTCACTCCCTCCCCTGGCCTGATGGGAAGGGGTTAAAATGGCGGCCGCCGGCGCTGTAGCTACTCGGCTGCTCCTGCTCTTGCTCATGGCGGCAGCAGCTCCCAGCCGGGCCCGGGGCAGTGGCTGCCGGTCCGGGGCCGCTCTGCGGGGGGTGAGTACTCATTGGCTCTGCACGGGGGGTGGGGCTGACGGAAATCCTGGGTCTCGGGTGTTTAGGTTGGGTAAGGTGGGAATGAGGCATTGCAGGGCCAAGAGGAAGAAGAGGTGAAAGTGAGTATAGTTAGGAAGGCTTTAGCGCGTGAATATGCATGAGGGGGCGGGGCTTGGATCGGATATTGGTCCCTGGGCTTTCGGTGCTGTAAGAACGAGGATGCGCCGAAGGAGGTTGGGGCAAGAACATCGTGTTAACGTTGAAACGCTAGGGATCCGCAGTCGTTAAATATGCATGAGGAGGTGTGGCCCGGGTGGAACCTTGGCGAATCAGACGTAGGGGCGGCTAAAACGAAAGGGCAGAGAGGCTCTCGAGTTATTGGATAAAGTCCTGCCTCCTGAATATGCATAAGGAGGGCGGGATCTTGAGTTGGAGGATTAAAATCTGGGCACCGGGTTGCGCAGGTGTGAGGGTTGCGTAGGTGCCAGGGCGTGGTTGGAGGACGCAGAGGTAGGAGAAATTTGAATTTGGAGAAATGGCCGGCGTGGAGCCTTGTATGTACTTGATAAGGGGCGGAACTCGGGCGGCAGCGTCGCTATTGTGGCTGTTAAGGTGAAAACGAGGCCACTTGTATATTAGGTTGGGAAGGAAGCTCAGGTATCCTTTAACCCACGAATGTTTACGATGCCAGCCGTGAAGACAGTTGCCTTGGAACTGGAGATGGTTGCCTTGGAAACAAAGTTACGCTTCTTTGCAGGCTTTGGTTTTCTGGGGACCGTCCAGATCATGAATTTTCATGAAATGGCCGGTTCCTGGTGGAATCATGGTGGACAAGTGTCAGTGTTTGGATATGAATGTGAAAGTAAGGTTCCTCCTTCAGCCTGCGTGTGCCCTGGGGTCCGTGGGTCCTGCCCTGCTGAGGGCTCTGATGGTCCTCACCTGGGGACCTCTCTCTCACCTGCAGGCGGGAGCAGAAGGTCGAGAGGGTGAGGGCTGTGGCACCGTGGGGCTGCTGCTGGAGCACTCATTCGAGATCGGTGAGTCCAGCAACGTCCTTGTCTGGGCACTTTCCTGGTGCCCCGTGAAGTCAAGAACTTGGGTCTGGGTGCTACCCAGTGTGAGACATGCCATCCATTTACTAAAAGTTTTGCCCCTCAGTGTGTTTGCATTATTCTGGGGAGGTTGGGGCAGGGAGGACATGAGAGAGAAGGAACCCTACCTTTGAATACTCCCTTTATCTGTAAGACAAATCCTAGTTTCAGAAAGGCAGTGCAGCAGTAATAAACTCAGAGCAGACTTCTTAGACTAGTCACCCTGTGCCCTGCACTAGGGGCTAGACGCTCTGCGTGTATTCACTCATTTGCCCTTGCTGCAGTCATGCAACTTAGTAGGTATTAGAGATAGCCCCATTTTCCAGAAGGGGAAACTGAGGCTCAGAGGGGCACCACACAAGGTCCTTCTGTCAGTGAATGGTAGAGCCCGGATCTGCTGTACAGCCCAGCTTAAATAACTACGATTCAGGTGTTCAGATTTCTAGAGCACAGAGGTCAGTATGGCCCAGAGGTCCAAGCCCCCAAACTCTGGGGCACTTCTTAGAAACGCTGAAGCTGGGACCCTCCACAGACCTCCTGACTCAGACCCTGGCCTCTGCCAGGAAAGCCCCACTGGTTCTGACATGGCCCAGTGGCTGGAAGCCCCTGTATTTTGCAGTTGGGAGAACTGAGGCTTAGAGAGATTAGGTGACTGTCCCTGGGTCACCTGGCAAGGCAGAGGCAGGGCTTAGGAGCTGTGGTGTCTAGACATCTGCCGTGGGCTGCCCTGTGAGATAGGAGGGCAGGACATGGTGGGGGGTGGGTGTCCCCACTTTGCAAGTGGGAAAATGGGGGCTCGGGAGGGGGAAGCAACCTGGTCATTGCAAGGGGTTCAGTGATGGGGTGGCTGCTGAGCCCTGATTCCCCACAGATGACAGTGCCTACTTTCGGAAGCGGGGCTCATTGCTCTGGAACCAGCAGGACGGCAGTTTGTCCCTGTCGCAGCGACAGCTCAATGAGGAGGAGCGGGGCCGGCTCCGGGTGAGGAGGGGACCCGGGGCTTGGCTGGGGTGTGGGGGGACCTGTGTCTTGGAGCATGCCATGCCATATCGTTAGCTCGTCTCACCCTTCCAGGTTCAGCCAAGATGCTTTACAGTCAGTTAGGAGGAGATTTGCTGGGGAGGAGAAAGAGATCCCTGTAAAGGCCACAGTTAAACAAAAGAAGGTTATTTCTACCATAGTGTGCTTCGTGGCTTCCTCAAGGCCAGGCTCCTCCCTGGCCTGGCCTGGTCCTCCCTAGGGATGGTGCACGGAGATGCAGCAGGCCAGAGGAAGAGAAAAAGGAGGCGCAGAGAGAGAAGCCATCTTTTGGGGACGGCCCACCAAAGCTGCTACAGTCTACTTGCACTCTCTCCCTTTAGCCAGATGTAGTTGCCAGGGAGGCTGGGGATGCAGGTTTCATCGTGGGCAGGCACGTGCCCATGGGCGCCCTCCCTGTGGGAGGTGGTCCACCCCAGCCAGCCTTGCTGTGTGCTTCCCATGTGGTTCTTTGTCACAGCTGCCTCTCAAGAGAATTTGTCACTCCTGTGACTGGGGAGTCTAGGTATGGGGTGGGCCCAGGTGCAACTGGATCCAGGTTTGAGGAAAGTGTCCTTGGGACTCACTGCATCCCTGGGCTGGGCTCTACTCCCCTTAAGGTGGCTTCTCCCCCAGGTGGAGCACCCAGTGGCTCCTGGCCTCACTCACCAGCAGGGCCACCCACTGGGAAAAGTTCTGGGCTAGGGGTTAGGGGGATGGTGGTGGGGTGAGACGGGGGAAGGGTCCCCTGGGCCCAGTGGCAGTCCAGGCCTGGCTGGCGGGGGCCGCTCATTGTCCTTCTCACTGCCACCCTCCTCTGCCCTGCAGGATGTGGCAGCCCTGAACGGCTTGTACCGTGTCCGGGTCCCTCAGCGCCCTGGGGCCCCTGATGGCCCAGAAGCTGGCGGTTATGTCTCCTCTTTTGTCCCTGCGGTGAGTCAGTGACGGGGACCTTCCTTGTGCCTCCCACCTGCCCCGGCCTGGCTTCCACCATTTGTGCCCCAACATTTATGGACAGGGAGGACTCAGACCTGGCCTTGCCCGCAAGGGTCCCCTGGGCTGGAGGGGGACAGTCCACGTGGTGGGCCCTTCGATGGGACATCACAGGACCTCATGGGGAGGCTTTTGCACTTGGACTTGTGCCCGAAGGAGGGGGAACCCATGAAGGGCTTTGAAAGATCCTTCTGGGCCCTGTGAGAGGGGTTGGAGACTTTGGGGTCTTGACGTGGGCGAGGTCTGCGTGGCAGCCCTGATCCCCCTGCCCTCCCCAGTGCTCCCTGGTGGAGTCGCACCTCTCGGACCAGCTGACTCTGCACGTGGACGTGGCTGGCAACGTGGTGGGCGTGTCAGTGGTGACGCATCCTGGGGGCTGCAGGGGACACGAAGTGGAAGACGTGGACCTGGAACTGTTCAACACCTCTGTGCAGCTGCAGCCGCCGGCCACTGCCCCGGGGTGAGGGTGGGCAGGGTGCGGGCGCTCTGGGGTGAGGGCGCGCGGGGTGCGGGTACAGGGCAGGGGCGTGGGCAGTCCAGTCTCTGTCTCAGCCGTCCTTCTGCTGGCTTTGCCGTGTCCTCGTTGGCTGCCCCAGCCCCTTACCCTCTCTCCTTCTCCGCCCACCCCTAGTCCTGAGACCGCAGCCTTCATTGAGCGCCTGGAGATGGAGCAGGCCCAGAAGGCCAAGAACCCCCAGGAACAGAAGTCCTTTTTCGCCAAATATGTGAGTGGAGCTCTGCCTGCCCCTGCTCCCTTCCCTCCTGAGTCGCCCTCTGCCCTTCTCTCCCCTGTGGCCCTCGGCCTGTTCCTCTTCCTCCAGGCCTCCTGTGCGTGGGGCTTGCTTGTCGCCTCCGGGCCCATCCCCTGGCACCTGGGTTGAGCCCAAGGCCTGGGCGGAGTGGGTGAGGACTATGGGCCATGCGCATGCCTCCGCCTGGGTCTGTTCATGGCAGGGGTCGCAGGGCATCCAGGCTCAGCAAACGGCCGGCCCAGAGCCAGGTGGCGGGGTGAGACGGGAAGGGTCCCCTGGGCCCGGTGGCAGCCCAGGCCTGCCTCAGGCTGGGGGCAGGTGCAGTACAGGCAGTGTTGGTCTTGAACAGAGGCCTGTCTGGAGGAAGGGCAGTGAGGAGGGCGGTGGTCAGGGGAGGGATGGGCAGTACTGGGGGGGGCTGGGACGAGGCCTGAGCTGGGCCAGTACCGTGAGGCTGAAGAAGGGAAGGAGACAGAGATTTAAATGGAACGGGGAGCTTTGGAAAGGAGAGGCTGGGTGGGGTCCTCCAGCCGGGCCTGGGATGCTGGTGGCTTTGAGAAGGGGCGGTTAGGGGAGGTAGGGCTGGTGCTCGGGAGGCTGGCTGGAGCTGGAAAGGGGCGGGCCTGTGCTGCTGGCCTGGGGCTGGTGGGGGGTTGCTGGGGGCACTGGGGCAGAAGGCTGGTCCACCCAAGGCAAGGGAAGGAGACAGCGGAGGCCGCTGTGGGTGGGAGGATGCCAAGCCCTACTGCCCTGAGTGTGGTGCCTGTGGGGCCTCCGTTGGCTTGCCAGTAGCTCCTGACAGCTGCACTGTGGGGAAACGGAGGTCCAGAGAGGCCAAGAACCCACTGCCCCAGATCTGCCCTCCCCAATGGCCACAGGACCCCACTGCCACCCCTGGCCCTGACCTGTGCCCCCTCCCTCCTCAGTGGCACCTCATCCTCGGGGGGGCTGTGTTGCTCACAGCCCTGCGTCCTGCCACCCCGGGGCCCACGCCGCCGCCGCAGGAGGCCTGAGTGAGGACTGAGCCCCCTCCCGCCTCCACCTTCCCTGTACCCCACCAGCCCTTCCCCAACCTGTAGTGATGTAGGGGACCTGGGCCCCCTTCCCTCACGTGGCCTCCCCTCACGCCGGCTCCCCTACCTTCCCGCCCTGGGGGAATGTGGCTCATACTCACTTCTCTTCTTTCTGTCTCTCTCTTTGTTTGTCTGTCCATCGTCCCATCCTCCCACCTGGCCCACAGTGGATGTACATCATTCCTGTCGTCCTGTTCCTCATGATGTCAGGAGCTCCAGACGCCGGGGGCCAGGGAGGGGGGTGGCGGCGGGGGTGGTGGTGGGGGCAGTGGCCGCTGAGGGGCCAGGGCATCGGTGCCTGGTCCTCTTTCGTCCAGGCAACTCCCTTCCTGCCAGAATGCTCCTGTCCTTGATCATCCCAAGAAGGATTTGCTAGCTCCTCCCAGCTCCATCCCATGAGGGTAGAAGGACTCCTCCCCAGGAGTCCTTTCCCTCTGGGCGGACGGGTGGCCAGATTCTGGTGCACCCTGCCTTCCCCTGTGGTCCCTCCGTGGCCCCAAAGACTTCCTCTTGCCCACAGCATGGAGCTCGAGCTCCTGGTCCAGCTCTGACCTTGTGTTTGTCCCCCTTTCCCCTGAGCCTCGTAGTTTGGGAACATGCCGAGTTCTCTCCAGCCTCTGTGCCTTTGTTCGTGGTCTTCTTGCCCTGCCTGTCCCTGGCTAGGCTAGAGGGTCCCTCTACCTTGTCTGACACTGGATTGGGCCACGCACTTCCCACCTGTCTGCCCTTGAGGGGCCTGGCACAGAGCAGGTGTGGGCTGGCCATGGGCGCCCCCTGGGCCCCATTCCTCCCAGCAGCGCTGCCTTGGGACACCTCTCCGGCCTTTATCTGCCCATGGCTCTGAGCAGGAGTTTAGGTGTCCTGCCCCATCAGGATGCCAGGCCTCCCATAGGCTTTGGGGCATGAAGAAATGATTTTTAAAGTAAAGACAGAACAAACAAATATTTAGTAGAGTCGAGGGCCGGATGATGTAAATAGAATCCCTTCCCCTGCCTGGAATGTCTTCCCTGGGATAGGCCACCAGGAGAGGACTGCTGGCCTTTCTTATTTATCACCACCTCCCCTTTGTCTATTTAAAAATATCGACGATATATTGAGATACATCAGGGTTTTGAAAAGGTGCGACTTCCAGCAACCAAAGGCACCCGTTGATTTGGTTCCAGGGAAGTCCTGGTGTACAGGCTTGATTGAGTTCCGCCGCTCCGCTCTGTGTATTATTCAGAAGCACACAGAAATGGCCGGCACGGTCCCTGAAATGCCGTGTAACGCTCCGCAGTGTTGTATGGCAGTTTATTAAACCGTTCCCCAAATGTTCAACGTTTAGCTTCCTGCTGGATGTGGTTATAAATAGCACAACAGCGAGCGCTCTCCAGTCTCTCTTTGGTGAGTTTGAATTATTTCCTGGGGATGCATGACCAAAAGTGGAATTACGATGGCAGATTGGAAGCACTTTTCTGAAAAAGTGGTGCATTCGTGTGGCTCTGCTGTCAAAACAGCGTAAGAGGTGTGTGGTGGACAGTTGTTTCCCCCGCTTGCTCTCATGTGCTTCATTTCCCTCCTCGTGTCTGTACCAGCGCGGGCAGGTAGGGACACACGCTGTCCTCCTTTTTGTAACGCACAAGTAGCGAATCCCCTACACAGCCTTGCCCTTGCTTCTTTGCTCCTGCCCCGTATATTCTGGAGACTTCTCCTCGTGGGGGACTGGCCTCGTCTTTTGTGCCCCACCAGAGACATGCGCCCGGAGCTCATTCAACCTGGCCTCCACCTACGGATGTCACCCCTTTTCACAGATGCAGCTGTAACCAAGATGAAACCCCAGCGGCGGCCAAAGGAAGGTGGCGTTTGTAAACGTGACCCATGTTGCTAAGTTGCTCTCCATGGAGCAAACGCCAGTCCCCTTTCCCCCACGACCTCGCCAGCAGATGGCTCAAACCTCTCCGTGTTGTGAGGCTCTGCATCTGTCTCAAGAGGGAAGTGGAGCCCGGTAGCACCAATTGGGATTTTCTGGGAACCATTCTTGTCCTTTGCTCAAGGGCAGCACTTAACGATTTTGAATTCCTCTTGTGATTTGTCTGACTCCTCAAGCCACCCTGTCTGTTTTCTGGTCCCTCTGGATTCCTGTCCTGCTGTGGCCCTTCCTTTGGCCCTTCTCTTCCCTCAGACCTCGCTCCCAGGGGCCAGCCACTCCCCGCTGTACTGCAGCAAGTGGCCTGAGAGTCCCAGACAGTCCCACCGATTTGCAGTTCCGCGGTATTTTCTTCGACTGTGTTGTTGTGTTACACACAACATTGGGGGTTGTCGTTCAACCCATTTTGTGGCTTTAATACATAAAACAGTGTTCCAGGGGTGCTTTCCCGTCTGTGCTCCACGGGAATTGCCCCCATGGTGTTTCCTCGTGCTTTCTTGGACAAGGTTCAGACTCGGAGTTCCTAACCCTTCGTCTCACTGGCAGGTGCATTCCTGCCCCAGTCATTTGTCGGACCATTTTGTAATTTTTTAATGGATTGAGATTGAGCTCTTTACCTGATTACCTTCTTTTCCTCTAAGACTCTCTGAATCACTCTGGAGCCAGCAGGGTTAATCTGCGGTATATTCCAGTCACTGTCTGAGCTAGTTTGGGCTCCTTGGGGCTCTGTCCTCATTAAAATTTTCTAATTCTTGCCTCTCCCTGGAGAGCCCACTTACTATTTCATATTATTGACCAAGGTATCCAGGGATATAGCAAGGAACTCAAAAGATACCATAGGATCCAAAGCAAAGAGCCTTCCGCTCACCCCAGCCTGGCACCTGTTCCCCTCACCGGGGGCAGCCTGAGTTTCCAGTCTCCTGCTTGTTGCTCTGGAGATACTCTCTACATAAACAAGCAAACATCTGTGTAAATAGTTTTACAAAAATGTGTAGCTCTAGTTTTTTTTTTTTTTTTCAAGATTTTATTTATTTGAGAGAGAGAGCACAAGTATGGGGAGAGGGACGGGGAGAGGGAGAGGGAGAAGCAGACTCCCTGCTGAACAGGGAGCCCGATGAGGGGCTCGATCCCAGGACCCCGGGATTGTGACCTGCGCTGAAGGCAGACACTTAACTGAGCCACCCAGGCACTCTGGAGCTCTAGTTTTTTTCTCCCTAAGTTGGAGAGGTTTCCATCTGGGATATAAAGTGCATCCTCATTCTGTGATGTAGCTGGCTCGGAGTTGACTTCGTTGGTCCCCGTGGAGGGACCTGCAGGTTGTTGCAAGCAGTGCTGCAGGAATCCCCATGCGCCCGCATCAGTTCGCATACATGCACATGTGTCTGCAGGACACACTGCCAGAGGGGGACTTGCTGGGGGCAGCCTCAGCCACCTCCCATCCACACTGGAGCCCTCTTGCTGACCATCAAACCCGTCTCCCGCTCAGACGCCCCTCCTGGTCTCCAGACCCTTGGCTCCTTCCCCAGGCTGTGCCTCTGGGAGAGTCTCTGCCACCCATCGGCCCCCAGTCGGAGCCCCTGCAGGAATCCTTACTCCGGGAAGTGGCCTCACAGACCAGAGCACTGCGGTGCTGTACTCTGCTGTTCCTTCCTGCCTCACCCCTTCTCCTGTCCCCCTTGGCCCCAGCCCTGGCCTCATCCTCCCCCACCTGGACCATCAGCCCAGCCTCCTTCCCTGGCCTCAGCGGGGGGGGATTTCTGACACCAGAGCTGCCCCCCACTCCTCCCCGGCTCTGAGCCCTCCCATGGCTGCGTAGTGCCCTCAGGACAAAGTCCCAGCCCCTCAGCCTGGCCTTGGAGGTCTGTTAGTTTCCAATCTGTTCCTCCTTTTCAGCCTCATTGACGAGCACCCCCCAACCTCAATGAATGAGTCCCTCAGATACCACCCAGCCAGGCTGCAGGCACCCTCTAAGCCCCCATGGCCCCATCCACCTTTCTGCCATATGCCTCCCTCTCTGTCCCCATGGAGCTCAGTGCCCACTCTCTCCCTCCTGCACCCTTACGCTGGCCTCCTGACCTCTGGTCTAAGGTGGGAGAGCACCTGCAAGGTAAATGCTCAGGGAAAGGATTGCCTCCCTCCCCAGTTTCCTGCCTTGCCCTTTGGATGCCCTTCTTTGCCCTACAAAATGTTACCTGCTTCCTGGCATTTAGGAAACCCCTTTCCCAGCCCAGCGTTTCATATGGTCATTTAGGTATACTTAGCACAGAGTTATAGGATAGGCAATCTTTTAAAATATGTAAGGCTGATTTTAGTATATTTTAAGACTCTACTATCCAGAATTGTGCATTGTAGCAGGTGGCTTTTGGAATGAGTTCTATAAGCTCCTTTATTTAACCCATCAGAGAGACTCCATGGTGAGGATCAGAGACCAATCCCTGGGGCTTCTTTAGCTGTCATTCATCTTTGCCTGCACCCACCTCCCAGTCAGCAAGGCATAATGGTGTCATTACAAAGGAAAACTCAATTTGGCCCAATTCCTAGAAATAGGCTACCAAGCAAACTCTGTAAATCAAATCCCACTTTCCTTAGTTTCCCATAGTAGGCATGTGTGCATTTCCATGGCAACACAGAAGAGAATCCACCCATAGGATGACTTACAAACATGAAATCTGGAGGTGTAAATTGGCATACCAAGAAGCTTGCTGGGTGTGATGTTTACATATTGGCCAGGAGTAAAAATTTTACTTTTACAGAATTTTGCTTGACATCATTCCTGGTGTCTAATACAGCTGGGTTACAGTTCTGTTCTTTATCAGTAGGTGGTGATAAAGATTTCACCCTGCCTGAGAATGCCTCTCAGACCCATGGGATGCTCTTCTGGATACTCTGGGGAGGTCAGGCCCACATGGACCCTCTCCCTGAAGAGAAGTGCCTTGCAGGGGGTGCTCTTAGCCCTTGGGAAGGTCGGGGTTCCCATGAAGCCTCTGTCCTAGCAGATGCTGGTCTTCAGGAACACCGATGCCTATTTTCTCATCTGTGAAGTGGGAGTCAGGTGAAATCCTCCCATGCTCCATGCTGCCTGAGGAAGAGAAGATGGTGGCAGGTTGGGGAGGAGAACGGGGCAGAAAGGAGGCAGCCCCCTTCTCACCAAGCTCATACAGGAGTCCAGGGATCGGGAGAGTGGAGGAGCCAATTCCTGGCCAACTGCAGGGTGGCCCAGCCAGCCCCACCCTGGCACTTACGTGCAAGTGTCTTTAGGCAACTCACGCCCTGTCTCTAAGCCAGTTCCTTGGATCCTCCTTCCTGGGCTGGGAGCAGGCCTCATTCCTCCAGGCAGTGGCCAGCATCCAGGACAGACAAAAAAGAGAGAAAATGGGTGTCACAGAGGCCCTTCCACCCAAGGGGGGCTCTGGCTTGGCAGCCCTGCTCCAGGCTGTCCAGCCTCTTGCCACAAACCCTGCACAGATCCCTGGGAGGATGTCAGCTCTGAACTTCAGGGAGGGAGAGGAAAGGAGGGGGAGGCAAAGAAGAGGATCTCAGAGCTCCTGCTGAGGATGCGGCTGGCTGACAATGGAGGGGCCTCCCTGACACAGGGAGACTGGGAGACAAGGCGCAGAGGAAAGGAGGCCAGTGGAGGGGAGAAGTCCTGGAGGAGAGAGAGCAGAGGTGACAGATTCAGAGAGGAGAGAAAGGAAAGAGGGAGAGAGATTGGAAAGGAGGAGGAGAGAGAAGGGATGGAGATGAGCAAGAGGGGAGCAAGGAGGAAAGACTGGAAGAGAGTGTAGGGGGAAACATGGAATGAGGAGAGGGGGAAAGAAGATGAGTGAGAAGACGGACTGGGGGGGTACCCTGAGAGAAGGAGGCGGAGAGGGGAGAGGAAAGGAGACCGTGGCGGGGAGAGCGAGGCTGGGGGAAGGAGAAGGAGGGAGAGAGAGGAAGGGACAGAGTCGGAAAATGGAAGGCAGAGGAAGGAGACGGTCGGGGGAGAAGGGGAGGGTGCGGAGCTGGAGGAGCAGCCCGGGAGCAGCTGAGACAGACGGGGTAAGAAGGCCGAGACGGCAGGCGGGGAGAGGGGAAGAAAGGGAGAGCAGGGGAAGCAAGGAGCGGAGAGCTTGCTGGCGGCCGGGATGCAGAGGCCAAGGCCGAGCGGGGCAGGCAGAAGGAAGGAAAGCGGGGCAAGGGAGAACGGCAGACGGGAAACAGAGAAAAGGAGAAAAAGGGAGACAGGAGTGTGGAGAGCGAGCGAGCGGGCCGGTGGGAAAGAGAAGGGCAGAGACGGGGAGAGGCCGAGAAAGGAGGGGTGTGAGGGAGGCTCGAGGAACCGGGAGTGGGGAGAGGAGGTGGGAGAGAAGTGGAAGAAAAGGGGTGGAGAGGGGAGAGCGCGAAGACCAAACTGAGAAGAGTGAGGGGAGGCTGTGCCACACAGAGCGTGGGGAGCGGCGGGAGAGCGAGAGGAGGAGGAGAAGGGATGCGGGGAAGGAGGGGGAGGAAACACTGGCGGGAAGAGGGGCCCGGCCGCGGCCAGAGCGCGCACGCGCACCGGCAGGCACAGGCGCGCGCACAGGCGCAGGAAGGCGCGCGCGCGCCCCGAGGCCGGGGCCGGGGCCGGGGCCGCTGAGGAGGGGAGCCGGGGGGAGCCGACCGGAGACGAGGAAAGCCGAGAGCGAGGGTAGAGGGAAGCGCGGGAGGCGGAGACGCCGCTCCCTCCTCAGCGCCCGGCCGCCGCCGAGGGAGAGGACGGCTCGACAGCCGCGAAGACGGAGATGGTGCGGAGCCAACGGTGTGGGGAAGGAGCCGGGCGACGAGGGGGACCGAAGGAACGACAGAGCCAGCACTAGAGAAGAAGGAAGGGAGGCTTTGCCGCCTCCCGGGAGGGGACGCCCTTCCAGGTCGCGGGCGGTGGCCCCGCCCCGGTGCGCGAGGAGCTGCAGAGGCCGGTGGGCTGATGGTCCCCGGAGCTGGCAGGACGTGACGGGAGGTGCATGACGTGTGAAACACAAATCACGGGGCCGTTTCTTCGGAGGCAGGAGACGCGTATCGCCGGCCCGCGGGGACGCCCGGCGCGGCGCGTGGGTGCCAGAGGGGCCTCCCGGCTCTAGGAGGCAGCAGGGGGCCCGGGCCTCGCAGGGGTGCAGCCCGCGGGGGGAGGCGCAGATGTGGGAGGAAGAGACGGAGGGACAGGAGAGGGTGAGGGCGACGCGCAGGGACGAGGAAAGGCGGAGAAATGGTGAAGGGAAATGGGGGGGGGGGCACTGTCCGGGAAAGAGGAGAAGCCAGGGCGTGAGGTGGGGTAGAGTCGGAATGGCGGGAAGGACCCCGGGGTGAAGGCGAGTAGGGGAGAAGACGAAGGAGGAAAGAGGAGCAAAAAAATCGATGAAAAGAAGGTACAGGAAGAGCCGAGTGAGAGTATGGATAGACGGGGGGCGGGGGAGATAGGAGACCCCATGGACCCTGAGCCTGTGTGAGGGACAGAGACAGAGGACAGAGAGGAGAGAAGGGAGCGGGGAGCGGAAAGCCGAAGGAAAAGATGTGCTCCCTGACTACAACCAGAAGAACAGGGGGTTGGTGTGAGAACCAAATACAAGGACAAGAAGCTGGAGACGAAGGGGACAGGGGGAGAGGAAGAGCAGAGGCACAGAGAGCAGAGGGAGGGGAGAGGGTGCGGAGTGTAAACCAACATGGGGAGGACCCACCACACGGTGCCCCAGCGCGGCCCTCCTGTCAGCGCTGCTGTGGGAACTAGACAGAGCAGGACGCTCCAGGCTCAGGGACGCCACCTCGGTGTCATCCCCCCCCACCCCCGTCGACATCTCCTGGGGAGCAAAGGGACAGGGTAGATGAGGGGGCTGAGTGAAGCGCAGGGGGAGGAGAGTGTGAGGTGGGACTAAAGTCCTGAGGAAAGGAGATAAGCTTCCAGAGAGGGTGAGAGCCACAGGACGGGAAGCCAGGCCAGTGGGGTTGGGGTAGATGAAGGTGAAGAAGGACAAGAGCATCGTTTCGGGGAGAAATGGGAGGGGTGTGTGTCTGGAATAAAGAGTAACTCTGAGGAGCACGATGAGAGGAATCAAGAAAACCTGTGTGGGTGTGTGTGGGGAGAGACGCAGATCAGGACAGAGAGGAGAGGGAGAGGAGGAGAAGCAAGGCCCAATCAAGAAGGTGTGAGCAAAAGAAACCAGAAGTGTGAGGGAAATTAGTGTGAGGAGGAAAGTGTGTGTCACAGATGGGGCAGAGACAGAAACTGTGTGGGGGACAGAGGAACAGAGGTGAGAAAGAAAAAGATGAAGAGTGAGACATGGAATCAGAGTCGGAGAGAGAGAATCTGAGAGAGGGAGAGAGAGTCTGAGAGACAGACGTAGTTTGAGAGATAGACTGAGAGTCAGAGTCTGAGAGAGAGAGAGAGAAAGAGAATCTGGGGGAGAGAGAACCTGAGAGAGACAGAGTCTGAGAGAGAGTCTGAGTGAAAGAGTCAGAAAGAGAGAGTCTGAGAGACACAGAGAGAGTCATAGGGAGAGTCAGAGAGAATCTGAGAGTGAGAGTCAGAGAATGAGAGAGAATCTGAGGAGAGACAGTCTGAGTGAGAGAGAGTGTGTGAGTCTGAGAGAGAGAGAGACTGTGTGTGAGGGAATCTGAAAGAGTCTGAGTGAGAGTCTGAAAAAGTGAGAGAGAGAGAGTCAGAGAGTCTGAGTCTGAGTGAGTCTGAGTGAGACACAGAATCTGAGAAAGAGGGTGAGAGAGAGTCTGAGAGAGAGAGAGAGCGAGTCTGAGGAAGTCTGAGAGAATCAGAGAGGGAGAGTCTGAGAGAGAGAGTGAGAGCGAGAGAGTCAGAGCGTCTGAGAGAGAGTCTGAGAGAATCAGAGAGTCTGAGAAAGTCTGAGAGAATCTAAGAGAGTGAGAGCGAGAGAGTCTGAGGAAGTCTGAGAGCGTCTGAGAGTCTGAGAGAGAAAGTGAGAGAATCAGAGTTTGAGAGAGAGTCTGAGAGCGAGTCTGAGACAGAGTGTGTGCATGAGAGAGAATGAGAGATGGTGTGTGTGTGAGAGAATCTGAGTGAAAGAGAGTCAGAGTCACAGAGTGAGAGAGAGAGTCTGAAAGAGTGAAAAAGAGTGAGAGAGAAAGTGTCAGAGAGTCTGAGGGAGAGTCTGAGGGAGACACAGAGTCTGAGAGAGAGAGAATCTGAGAGAGTCTGACAGTCTGAGAAAGAGGGTGAGAGAGAGTCTGAGCATAAGAGAATCTGAGAGAGAGTCTGAGGAAGTCAGAGAGAGAGACAGAGTCAGAGAAAGAGATTCTGAGAGAGAGAGTGAGAGCGAGAGAATATGAGAGCGAGCAAGAGAGTCTGAGAGCGTCTGAGAAAGTCTGAGAGGATCTGAGAGAGAATGAGAGAATCAGAGAGAGTCTGAGAGTCTGAGTCTGAGAGAGAAAGAGTCTGAGAAAGTCTGAGAGAGGAGAATTTGAGACAGTCTGAGAGAGGGAGAGAGAGAGTCTGAGAGAGAAAGTCTGAGGATCAGAGAGAGAGAGGGAGAGAGAGTCTGAGAGGGAAAGAGAGACTCAGAGAGAAAGAGAGAATCAGAGAGATTGAGAGTCTGAGTCTGAGAGAGAGAGAGTCTGAGAGAATCAGAGAGGGAGAGAGTGAGAGAGAAAGAGTCTGAGAAAGTCAGGGAAAGAGAGAGTCTGAGAAAGAGAGTCTGAGAGGGAAAGAGAGACTCAGAAAGTCAGAGAATCAGAGAGGGAGAGAGCTTGAGAGAGTCTGAGAAAGTCTGAGAGAGAAAGTCTGAGGATCAGAGAGAGAGAGGGAGAGAGAGTCTGAGAGAAAGAGTCTCAGAAAGTCTGAGAGAGTGTGTGAGAGAGAAATAGAGTCTGAGAGAGAGTTTAAGAGAGTCTGAGAGAATCAGAGGGAGGGAGAGAGTCTGAGACAGTCTGAAAGGGAGGGAACAGACAAGAGAATTACGGTGGGACAGACACGCAGAGCGAGGGAGAGGGAGAGAGATCAAGGGAGACTGGCAGGCAAGTTCCTTTCGCCTCTGACTTCCAGTTTCCTTATCTGCTGCTCCAGGTGCTGGGAGCCTGGCAGCCGGCAGCAGGGCGGGGAGAGGTGGTAACTCATGGCTTAATGGCCGGAAGAATCAGCGCCTCCTCCAGGGGGCACTTGCTGCCTCCCATGTTCTGTTCTAGTACTTTCTTTCTTTCTTGGTCTTGACTCAGTCCCCTTGTCCCTCCCCTACACCAGAGAGCGGCTATTATCCACACTTTTTTTTTTTTTTCCCAATGAAGAAATAAAATTGGAGCTGAAATCTGTTGTCACCATCACTGTGAGGAGGAGACGATCTGCTGCTTCTCCAGGGGTGGTGACAGAGACTCCCAGTGTAGCCCTAAATCCCTTCTGCCTGGAAAATTCAGAGCTTCCACTACTATGAAGAAACAAAAAGAGAGAGGAAGCCGGTGGAATAGAAGGGGCATGGCAGAACAGAAGTTTTAACGAGAGGTGTCAGTGTGTGTAAATTACCTAGCACATAGTTGGTGCTCAATCAGTGCCCCTTCCCTTTTCTGTTGGAGAGCACTGAGAGCAGAAAGGAACAGAAGAGGCAGCAGAGAGGAAGGGAAAGGGGGAAGGAGATTGTGAGGAGGGGAGGCTGTGCTTGTAAAAAGCGCAGCACCCAGTAGGTGCTCAATAAATGCCCATTCCAGTCTTCAGGAGAAAGGAGACAAGTCAGAAAGAAGGTGAAGAAACCACCTTAGAGGAAAAATGGGAGGAAAAACAGCCTAAGGAGAGAGAGTCATTGAGGGAAATTGCTGGGCATACAGTAGGTGTTTATTAAGTGTTCTTTCCCCAGGAGAAACAAGAAAGACGGGTAGGGGAAGCTCCAGCAGAGAGAATGAATAGGAGAAGCTGTGAAGGAAGGAGACAATATATGTAAAGCAGTGGGCACACAGTAGGTGCTTAACATGCCCACTTCCCTCCTTGGTAGTGAGCACAGAAAAAGCAGCCGGGAGGAGGGAAGAAAGCAGAGAGGAAGAGAGAAGGAAGAACAGAGCCTGTGAGGCAAACAATGACAGACAGTGTATATAAGGAGCAGCACAGAGTAGGCTCTTAATACATGCCTATTTCCTCTCCCAGGAGAGAGCAGACAGGGCAGAGAACAGGGGAGAAGCTGGAGGAGAGAAGGGGCCCAGGAGAAGAAATGAAGAAAAGAGAGTGTGTGTAGGTTAGGCTGGGAGTACATAGGAAGCACTCAATAAATGCACATTGACTTCCTAGGGGAGAGAGAGAAGGGGGAAAGGAAGGTGCAGGCACAGGAAACGGGAAAGAAAGGTTGGCTGAGGAGGTTGAGGCTGGCGGGCCAGAGGGTGGAGGTAACCTCGAGAAGAACTGGCAAAGGAGAGGACGCACACAGAGGAGGCAGTAGGGGCAAATCATGGGGCACACAGGAGGTGCTCTGTAAATGCTTGTTCTCTTCCCCCAAAGGGCCTAGAGAACACAGGGAAGGGAGAAGCTGGCAGAGGGAGAGGGACAGGGAGAAAGAGGCAAGAGGAGGTCAGATGGGATGTTAATTGCCTGGCATACAGTAGGTGCACCATAGTTGCCTGTTTCCCCAAGAAAGAGCAGATGGAGCAGAAATGAAGGAACGGGGAGAATTGAGGGGGAGGAGAGCATAAGGAGATTGTCTGGCATACAGTAGGTGCTCGATAAATGCCCGTTTCCTTCCCTGGCAAAGAGCAGAAATCAGCAGAGGGTAGCAGAGACCACAGGTCAGTGAAATGGGAGGGTGAGAGGAGAGGAGAGAAAGCACAGGCAATTGTTCTCATACCATAGGTGCTCAGTAAATGTCTGTTCTTTGCCTTGGAAGAGAGCAGAGAGCCCAGAAAGACAAGGAGGGGACAGAGGAGAGAAGAGGAAGGAAGAAGGTATGAGGAAGGGAAAGTAGATGTGTAAACTACCCGGCACACAGTAGGTGTTCAGTGTGTGTCCGTTCCCTCCCATCCCCCACTCCGAGGGAGCAGAAAGTCAGAATAGAGAGGAAATCAGGAGAGAGGGAAGAAAGGAATTGGGGGAGAAAAAAGTATAGTAAGAGAGGAGACAGTTTGTAAATTTCCTAGCACACAGTAGGTGCTCCACAAATGTGCATTCTCTTCCCAGGAGACCAGGCAGATCAGGAAGAAGTGCAAGGAATCAGGGTGGAAGGCACAGGAGAGCAAGAGTATAAGGTGCAGAGGCAGTGTATGGAAATTGCCTGGCAAACACTAGGAACTTAAAAAAAATGCCCGTTTCCTCCAAGAATGGGAGCCAGAAGCTTAGGAAGAACAGCAGAGGGCACAGAGGAAGGGGCAGGGGAGACCAGAGGGTGCCAGAGGAGGCAAGGAGGCATTTCAGGTGCATACAGCAGGTGCTCCATAAATGCTTGTCCCCTTCCCTGGCAAAGCAGAAAGCAGGCTGGGAGGTCAGAAGGAGGAGGATGAGGGAGAAGGGAAGGGGGACTCTGAGGGTAGAGGCCAAAGCCAGGCCTCCTGGTGGCTGCCCCTCCCCTGGGGCCCCGGCCCACCCTCCAGCTGCCCAACTGGAGCCCGGACCAGGACAAGGGAGCATTGTCCAGGCTTGGCTCGGCCTGGGGACTGGGAAGGGCTGCTGTGTCTAGGGGGTGGGGCGCTGCCTGGGCTCTGAGTCACTCTGTGTCTCTGCATCTCCCCATCTCACTGTGTGCGCGTCTCTGAGTCTCTGTGTCCTGCCGTCCCACTGTCTCCCCTCTCTAAGTCCGTGGCCCCCTATTCTGGTCTCTGTTTCACCGTCTCTGGGTCCCCCCCGCCCCCCGCATCCGTCTTTCTGTCTCTGCCCAGTCCCTTGGTCTGTCTCTCAGGCTCTGTTTCTTGCTGGCTCTGGGAGGGAGGACGGGGCCTCACCCACGGGGATCAGAGGCGGAGGAGTGAGCAAGGAAAGGAGACAGGGGAGCGAGAGAGTGAGGACAGAACAGCTTTATTGAGTAGAAACCGCAGCGGAGGGCCTGGTGGCCTCCATGGGGAGCTTGGGGGGCAGGCAAGGGGTGACGACAGGGACACGAGACAGAGGGACTGAGAGACGGTGAGGGGAGAGGCAGAGACATGAAAGAGAAAGGGAGAGAGAGACTGAGGCCAGGAGAAGTGGGGGGAGGGGACAGAGAGACAGGAGAAGGGAGAGACATGGGTGGGAGGAAGAGACAGAGATGGAGAGAGACGGAAAGAGAAAGAGAGAGAGAGAGACAGAAGGAAGGGAGACCAAAAGAGACAAAGGAAGACCAGGGAGCAGGAGAGAGAGGAGGGAGAGAGGCAAGGGAGGGCCGGCAGAGATCTAGAAATGGGAGGAGGGGAGGGATGCAGAGCGAAAGGGACAGAAATGGGAAGAAACAGAACAGATGGAGAGAGACAGAAGGAAGGAGCGGATGGGGCAGGGGAGGGAGACAGACAGACAGATTCGGAGAGAAGGGGGCAGGCAGGGAGATGGGACAGAGAGAGAGAAAGAGAGAAAGAGAGAGGGCCCAGCCCTGGGCGGACGGTGGGGAAGTCGAGGAAGGAGTGTGGTCCCTCTCACCTGACATCGGCGGCGGCCACCCCCCAGGACCATCTGGGCAATTTAAGGGGCGCCTTGGGGGTGGGACCTACCCCCCTCACCGCCTTATCTGGTCAGCGCTGGGCTGCAAGAGCTAAATCGGGCCTCAGCTGTCAGCACTGGGGTGCGCGGGACAGTTGTCACCCCACCCTGCACCTGCGCAGCCTCCCTCCTGCGCCCAGAGGCCCCTGCGGGTCTGTGTGGCGCGCCCCCAGCAGGGAGCCCCTCACTCCCTGGAGCTCGGGGACAGCCTGAGTCAGGCCTGGTTCCCGCGGGCCATGGCGGCCCCAGCAGGTGGGAGCTAGTGAGGGTGCAGGGGGCATTCTGCGCGGTAAGGGGCGAAGAGTAAGCGCGCTGTCAGCCTGCTGCCCGGCAGCCTGAGCTCTCACCAGTGCAGAGCAGGAGGGGTTAGGGCCGGAGGGGGGGCTGAGAGCAGGAGGGGAGGGAGGGCCCAGACCCCCCCCCAAGGTCCCACCCTGGCACTGCGGCTCCTCACTGCGACCATATTAGGCCATGGCTGAGAAGGCACCTGGGGAGGCCACTCAGGCCCAAGAATAGAAACACTCAGGAGTCCCGCCAGGCTGTCTGGGACCGCAGGGGACCGGCGACAGGCACAGAGGGCAGGAGGGGGCCCCAGAGGACCCAGGGAGACAGAAGCTGAGAGAGACAGGGAAACATCCAAAAAGGGAGACCAAGAGAGGGACACAAAGAGAGGGACAGAGGAGTCAGAGACCCAGGTGTGGGAGAGCGAGCAAGCTGGAGAGGCATAGAGGGGACAGGGCGGGGTGTGGGGACCTGACGGTTGGGGTGTCCTGCTGTTTGACTTTTTCCTTTACAAGTTCGCCTTTGACCTCCAGAAGTCTTGGGAACCCGAACCCACTAAGCCCAAGTCCCAGCATCACCCACTGGCCTTACAAGCATCCTGTTGTGTCTGCACCTCGTCTTCTGAGGGCCCTACCTGCCTCTCCCTGCCCGTGGCCTCCCTGTGTCTCTGGGTCCCCCGTTTTTGCCCACCCCTAAAAGGGGACCCCACTTTTCCCCAAGCCCCACTCTACCTGCTTACCTCCCCGGGCTCACACACGCTCATGCCTCCTCAAACAGGCCCGAGACCCCTGAAGCCATCTGCGGAGCCCCTGACCTGGGGCCCCCTTCCCTGGTGTCATTTGGTCTGTCACATCCCTTACATCCTGCTAAGCTCCGTGCCTCCACCAAATCCCAAACCACTCCTCATCTGTCGGGGGTGGTCCCACTGTCCCAGGGTCCTAGGGCCAGATGCCTGAGTGCTTCTTTATTCCTCCTCAGTTTGCCCCCAGAGCCCACCAGAGCAGAGCTGCTCGGACTCTCTGTGTCCCTCCTTTCCCTCCCCAGGGTCCAGCTCAGGCCTCCATCCTCTCCCATCTGGACCCTCAGTCTCCTCCCAGGCCTCCCGGCGTCTGGGCTGTCCCCATACCACCCGCCCCCGAGGGTGCTTTCTGAGCCTAGGACTGACCAGCTGCGCCCCTCGTGGCTCCCACCCACTGTCCTGGACAAGGTCCAGCCCTCAGCGCCCCCTTGGAGGCCCTGTGGCCTGAGGCCTGGCGGGGACCCACCCTGATCCCTCATCCCCTGGTCAGTGACCAGTAGCGACTGCCCCCCTTGTAGTGCAGATCTCATTCAGTTATTTCCCATTCTGGAACGGCCGCTTCCCTCTCACTGCCCCTTTGGAGAGGCCCCCTCAGCCTTCTGGAGCCAGTCCCCCAGGTCCCCTCATCTTCCTCTGGCTCCCTGGAGGGCCCCCTTAAAGCCTACCCTCCTGAACTGGGACTGGAGGGGGGCCTCCTGTCCCCTTGTGTCTTCCTCCCAGCCTGAGAGCGAGCGCCTGCCTTCATCTGCGGAGGTTCCTCCAGACCCGGAGATGGGACCAGGGGAGCCATGTGAATGGCCAACAGGACAAGGAAGCTACAGCAAGGGACGGACAGCAGGCCCTGGGGAAGGACACAGAACAGGAGGGGGTCCTGCTCAGATGAGAACCTGATGGGGGCCCATCTTCCTCCTGCTTAAATCCCTGAGGGACCGTCTTCCTCCTGTGTTACCGCCCCACCCCGCCTCACTGTGGCCACACCAGCCTCCTCAGGGCCTTTGCGCTGGCTGTTCCCTCAGCCTGGAATGCCTTTCCTCCACGGCTCCGCACAGCTCCCTCCTTGCCCTTCTTCCCGTTGTGGCTCACACGTGGCCTCCTCGCCTCCTCGGTGAGGTCCACGGCCCTAAATGAATTCCAGCCATGCTGTGCCGGCTCCTGTGGCTTAAAATAGCACACATTTATTCTCTTACACCTGCGGAGGCCAGAAGTCCGATGAGCCTCCCTGGGCTGGAGTCAGGGTGTGGGCAGGGCTGGTTCCTCCTAAGGCCCCGGCCCGGTCTAGCCCCTCGGGGTGCCTCCATCCTCCATTTCCCTGATCTGGCGCCTTCTCGCCTCCAAAGCTGCGCGCCACGTAGCATCTCCGACCTGCTTCCTTCGTCAGGTCTCTTTCAGACTCTCCTCGCCTGCCTCCTCCACCTTTAAGGACCCGCACGGTTGCCCGGGGCCCACCCGGATAATGCAGGCTCATTTCCCTGTTTTGAGGTCAGCGGATTAGCAACCCTTGTTCCCCTCTGCCACGTAACCGAGCACTTTGGCCATTTCAAGAGATGGCAGGATCAGGTGTGGCCATCTCTTGGAGCTACTGATGGCGTAGAATTGAGGTTTAAGAAAGTTGCTCTCTCCTCAGCACTTATCCCACTGAACATTCTAGACTGCGTCCATCCGCTGCTGGTCTCTCCCCCTGGCTCACAAAGGCAGGGATTTGTGCTGTTTTCTGCTGTGCCTCGACGAGGAAACTGAGGCCCACAGAGGTGGGTGACTCACACAAGCTGGCAAAGCTGGAAGGTGGTGGAGCATTTGAGCTCCCAGGTCCCCCCCACGCCCCCGGAATTCCCGCCTGGCTAACGAATGGCCTCTCTGCTCCGCGGGCCACGGAGGGAAAGGGCCCCCCCAGGCAGATGCGGGCCAGGCTGGGAGCAAATGAGCAGATTTATTGAGGCAGCTGCGGCCTTGAGGAGCAGGGGGGTGCAGAGCAGGGGTTGGGGCCTCCGCGGGGTCCAGGAGGTGCGGGGCCTAGTCCTTCCTCGGTGCTCTGGGGCCGGACGCGGGTGCGCAGGGACCGCCCGGACGGACGGGTGGCCTGGTTCCCTCCTCCGCAGGGTCAGTCTGTCCGCAGCCAGCAGCCCTTTTCCTCTACCTCCTTGGTCACCACCAGCAGCACCTCGCACAGGCCCTGAGCCAGCGCGGCCGCCAGGAAAGCCCTGGGCAGGGAAATGAGGAGACTGAGGCCCGGGAGCCCGGGTGTTGCCTCTGGGGGAGGGGGGCCTAGCGCCGGGGCCCCAGCCCCAGGGTCGCCTCCCCCTCACCTGACGCCATCCTCGTCCCCCAGGACCTCGGGCGCCTGCAGCTTGGAGTCCAGGTTGTAGTAGATGCCATCCACCTGGCGGAGGGCCACCCAGTGCCGCCGGCGCACTGGCAGGGACAGCAGCCCCAGAGACATGGGTGATGGCAGGTTCAGGATCAGTCCCAGCACCTGGGGCAGGGCCAGCTGGGACAGGGGCCTGCGTGGCAGAAGCAAGGTCAGGGGCCCAGGCTTACCCACTGGCCCAAGGGTACTGAACTTGTGGGACCCAGGCTGGCGTGGCAGCAGCGGCCCCCCGAGCCTGCCCAAGGACGCTCCTCACTCAGCGCGCCCTTTGTCTCCTTCCACTCACCCAATCACACGTGCACCTAAACCTGCCAGCCATCTAGCGGCCACTCCCCACAACCACCCATCTCGTCCACCCAAACATGATTCACCTACTGACAAGACTGACCAGCCAGCCAGCCACCAACTCCACAACTTACCCACCATCCTCCAACTCCTCATCCACTCTACCCATCTATCCATCCGTCCATCCATCCATCCATCCAACTATCCAACCACCTGTTTGCTATCCACTGCCTACCAATTATCCATCTTTTATTCACTCAACCACTCACCCACCCCATCAGCCAACCACCACCTACTCAACACATCCAACTACCCATTTACCATCCATTTAGTCACCAGATTACCATCTATCTACCCATCACCCACCCATCGGCTCATCCTGTTGTCTATCCAGTCATTCACTCATCTTTCTACCATCTCCCAACCCATTAGTCTGCCACCCGTCCATCATCCAGCCATGCCAACCTTCCACCCGTCTACCCCTTCCTTCTTGCCTCCTGTCCGCCCACCCGTCTCCTGCTTTGTCCCCCATGGATACTGTCACACCGCACCCACTGTGCCGGGCTTAGCACACACGACGCAGTGCTTGGGGTCCCACCTCCTTCTGTCCCACCACACGGTGGCCAGGCCCAGCCCTTGCAGGGCGGCCATGATCACGTTGACGTCATAGTTGCCGGTGCCCAGGAGGCTGCGATGGGGATTCAGCCGGGAGTCTGGGGCCAACCTGGTTGGGGGATGGTCAGAGCCTGAGTTGGGGGCCCCTGAAAAGGTCTCACCCTCCCCACAAAGCAGGAGAGTCCCAGGGTCCTTGAATCACCCAGCCTTTGGACTCTTCCCTTTGTTCAACCCCATGGCTCAGCCCCAAGCCTGATTCCTCCTGTCCCCAACTGTCTCTGCTCTGTCCTGGAGCCACATTTCCCAGTTCAGGCCTTGTTCTCCCCCACCTGGACCCTCATCCGGCCTCCAGCCTCCCCTCCAATCCCAGGGGCTCTTTCCACTGCAGCTCCCCTGCTCCCAGCTTTCCCTGGTGCCCTGTCACCCAGGATAAACTCTCAGCCCCTCTGCTGGCCTTCTAGTCTCAGTCCCACCCTAGCCACCTGTCCTCAGCCTGTCTCCTGCCTCCCAGCCTCTCCTCCAGCTATCCCCCAGCTCAGGAGGCCCACCCTGCCACCACTTGTCTCTTTGGGTCCTGCCTTCTCCGAACAGTGGCACCTTTGTTCTTTCTCTGGGCCCCTGGTGGGCAGGGCAGGGGGAGGGGTTGGAGAGGGAAAGTCTGTCTTATTTTCCTGTGTATCTGTTTGCCTGGCCTCCCTCAGGGCTGGGCTCCTACTGGACTCATCTCTGGGTCTCCAGCACGGATGGCCTCGGTGGAAAAGAGTTGATGGACTGCTGTTGTGAATGCCAGGGGCGATGAATAAATTCTAAAATAATCGGTCTGAGGGGCTGGGACTCTGCTTGAGGATGCTGGGGGTCCATGGGAGGGCTTTAAGCAAGAGTGGGGAGGCCGGGTCATCTCTGGGGGTAGCATCATGTGGGTTACTGACAGGAGGAAGGATCCAGGAGATGACAGGCTTAGGCTAGTGCCGGGGCTGTGGGGACGGAGAGGAGACCAGGCAGAGCAGGAATGAAGAAGTGATGTTTGAAATCTTGCATAGTGAGGAGGAACATCCCAGGCTGCCAAGAGAAGGAAGCTGTTCCAGACAGAAAGACTAGCCCATGCAAAGGCCTAGAGGCATTGGAGCAGGGCTCATTCGGGGACTGGGGAGGACTGTGGTTTGGGGGTGCAGTGAGATATGACGCTGAAGAGAAAGATGGGGGCCAGAGCATGCAGGGATATTAGGCTGCAGTCCTTGGGACTCCTCCCAGGGCTGCTGGGGAGCCACATGAGGGCTGTGAGCAGGGGAGGGCAGGGTCAGCACTGGGGCTGTGCAGAGCGTGGACTGGTGGAGAAAATCCAGAAGCTGAGAGGCCTGAGGGGATGCGGGGATGGGGGTCCAGATAAGGGAAGGTGAGGCCTGAGCTGTGGCCATGGCGAAGGGCAGGTGTGAGAGGCCACATCTCCATCTCTCAGTCCCAGGGTTCCCTAGGCAGGTGATGGCGCGGCTCTGTCCCTGCCTCGCTGTGAGACCTAGTTGGTCGCTCTGCCCATGAGCCCCGCTTCTCCAGGGGTTAGGATGGGTGGCGGTCACCTCTTGCAGATCTCATCGGCAGCCTCCTGGCTAAAGAGCTGCTGCTGCAGGACGTTGTTGAGGGCGTGGACGGCACACAGCTCCAGGCGTTGCCGTTCGTGATAAACGGAGGGCGGGTTCGGCTGTGCTCCTGGGGCCTGGGACATGCCGCCCTCGCCCTCGGCTCCTGCTTAGGGGCGACGGAAGAAGGTACTCGGCCTGGAATCTGGAGGCCCAAACTGCCAGCAGGCCCTGGGGGCACTGCCATTGAGGTGGGGGCTCAGGGCAGCCGGAGGGACACTGGGCCCCTGACCCTGCTCCCCAGGCGCTCTCCTGGCAACGGGGTACCTCCATCCCCTATTGCTAAGAAAAAGGCTCTTCTACTCACCTAGTAACAGAGGACCACCCCCGCCACATCCCTAAGTGACAGGCTCCCAACGGTGGTCACCTAGCAAAACCCCTCCCCTGTCCCTAGGTCACAGGCTCCCTCTCTGGTTACCTAGCAACAGAGTACCCTCTCCCCAACTAGGTAACAAGCCTCTCCTCCGGTTCCTTAGCAATAGAGAAATCCTCCTGCCCTGTTTCTAGGTAACAGGGTCTCCCCTAGTCGCCTAGCAACACAAGACTCCCCTCCTCTGTCACAAACAACAGGGTTCTCTGCTCCTGTCACTCGGCAACAGGGTCCCCTCCCCGGACACCAAGGAACAGAGCCCTTTCCCCGGCCCGTACCCCGACCGCGGCGCTCGCTCGTTGCCTGGCAACGCCCCTCACCCCGCCTGCCTCTCTGCTCCCCGAAACCAGGGGCTCCCGCATCCCCCTGGGCGGCGGCTGTGGGTTCCGAGTGCGGGGCGGGCAGCGCGGCGCTGACTGGCCAGGCCGGGCGCACACAGCTCCCGGCGGCCCCCGCGTGCCGAACTACGTCTTCCGGCGGCCCCCGCGAGGGCAGCTTGGCTCGGAAGTCCACTGTCGCCCCGAGAAGGCGGAACCGCAATTCCGTCGCCGTGGTGAATCCCGGAAATAGGCCCTGCAGAGGCCCCCGCCCCACGCCTTCGCGCGCGGCCACGCCCCCTGGCGCGCAGAGGATTCTGGGAAATGTAGTGGGTGGGCTCTCGCGATAGCTTCCGGGAGTGCTGCTCCCGCGCGTGTGTGTGCTCGTCGTCTACGGTGGCGTCAAGCCTGGTGTGAAGGCGCAGCGTGACGTCACAGTAGGGCAACAAGGGACCAGAGACAGCAGACCATGCAGGGAGAAGAGCCTCCAATATTTACTGAGACGGGAGGGAGGTCGGGGGTAACCGGGGCCAGGGCCGTGGTGGGGGGACGTAAATGAGACGAAGATGTCCACCAGGGAAAGAGGAGGCTTCTCAGCAGAGGTGGATCCCCGGCCTGCAGGGGAGCTGGCAGCAGCCTGCGGGGGAGATATAGGGAATAAAAGGCTGGGTTCGAGAGATGAGAGACAGACACCTGATGGGAGGGACAGACCGGGGTGGGGGTGGAGGAAGACAGAGAAGGACCGAGACCCAGAAGGGGGACGGGGACACACAGTGAGAGAGGATATAGGCTCCCAGCGAGAGGAGGTTACAGAAACTCAGAGAAAGGAGCTTTGGACAGAGATAGATCTATCAAGATTCAAAACCACGGAGTAGAAGGTGAAGGAGACACAGAAATAAAGATCAGTCAACTGAGACAGAATCAGAACTGCAGACAGAACCAGACAGAGCCCGAGACCCAGGCTCGGCAGAGCAGGGGGGCCCAGGGCTTGGGGAGAGGGGCCGCACCCAGGAGGCTGCGCCAGAAGGTGGTAACAGTGGCAGAGCCTGTGACAGCGCCTGGCTCTGCAGGATTCTCTCTGTGGGTGTGCACAGCAAACCTTCGTCCTGTGGGGCCCGGGGTTCCCCTCAGCTCCACGTCCACCACATGGATGTCTGTGAGGCTGGGGCAAGCAGGGTGGTCAGCCTGGCTGGCCCGGCCCCAGCCTGAGCCCCCACACGCCTTCGCTCACCTGAGATCAGCCACAAGCACCCCAACCACGCGATCAAAGCCCAGGCTGGGGGCGGCCAGTGCGGCGGCCGCCATGGTGTTGGAGTTGCGGGGGGCAAAGGGGCAGAGTCCCCGGACGGGGCCTTCATAGAGCACAGTGCGACGCCCAGTGCTGGGCACTGCAGCCAGCGGTCCCTCGAGCCGGAAGCCGTCGGGGTGCGTGGCCATGGTGACGCGAAGACTCTGGAAGTGACAGCCAGGGTGATGGGACTGGGGGTCTCTGCAGGCCCCCTCTGGTCCGCCCAGGAGCCCAGCGGGCCCTCACCTGGAGGCCCCCAGCTGCGTCCAATCTGGTGATGTCCTCAGTGCCCCACAGGGCCCCCCGGGCCACAAACACAGCGTGGTTCCAGCGGTGCGAGGCCTCCAGGAGCTGCTGCTCAGTGGCCTGGTCAGCCAGGGCTGAGGGGGACCCCACCTGGGGCGGATGAAGGTGGGGAGGGGCTGAGGTCAGGGGACAGATCCCACTTTAGGGTGGGGTGGGCCGAGGCAGGCTGGGCAGGGCTCACCAGGAGGTTGGCATAGCGCAGGATTTGTGCCCCAGATTCCTGGATTATTTTAGGATGGGCCACTTCCACCACAAGGTCAGGGTGCCTGGGAGAGGGGAGAGATGGGGGAGGGCCTTGGAGAGGTATTGGACCTTCCCTCCTCAGATTCCCTGAGTCTCTAGAGGCCTGTCACTCTTCACCCTGGCCTGATAGGGGAAGCAGGATGGCTTGTCCTGTTTCACATTTGGCCCAGGGAGAGTAAGGGACTCGCCTGAGATCACAGCACCTAAGTGAGGCCAGAACAGGAGCTTCAGGGAGCCCCAGCCTTTCATGGTGAGATCACTGACCTCTCCCCAAGAGCAGCGAGGTTCTGGAGCTGCAGGGAAGGGGGCACACTCCCTGCCATTCGCCCTGGGTCACGATTCCAGACAAAAGCAAGTTCTAGGCCCAGTTCTGGTCCCTGAGTCAGCAGGTGAGAAACAAGGGACTGTCCTGGGGAGAGGGAAGGAGATTCAGTGAGAGAGGGACAGAGACCAGAGGGAGGGGGACTGGGACCCAGAGGGAGGGGTCAGGGACCCAGAGGGAGGGGGTCAGGGACCCAGAGGGAGGGGTCAGGGACCCAGAGGGAGGGGGTCAGGGACCCAGGGGGAGGGGGTCAGGGACCCAGGGGGAGGGGGTCAGGGACCCAGAGGGAGGGGGTCAGGGACCCAGAGGGAGGGGAACAGGGACCCAGAGGGAGGGGGATGGGGCCTCGTGGTGGGAAGTGGATGGTGCTCAGGCAGACACAGAGGCAGAGCCAGGGTGCAGATAAAGACACACATGAAGTGTGTTTGTGGAGGACAAAGGGCTTTGGGGGCTTCAGGAAGGGGCCTGGAGAAGAGGCCCCAGAGGGTCAGTGACTCACCAAGGCGGCCGTAGCCCACCACCCCTACCCTCCTCGGGACCCTGTTGAGAGCCATGCCCTTGAATCTGGTGGTCTGCGTGAGGCCTGAGCTCTGTCAGCTGCTCACTGCCCCCCTCCCCTTGAGGCCTGGGCAGTGGCTGATCTTTGGACATTTGACCCTTGATCCTCTCCAGAACCTTCCCCCTTCCCCACAGCGGCCCAGTGGAGACCGTGCAGGTTTGCTGGGGGTGGGGAGTGGGGGTGAGGATCCTGGGGCAGTGGGCACGATGACTTGGGGTTCCAGGGCCCTGCGTGGCCCCCACCATACCCAGCCCCTTCCTTCCCTGCTTTCTACCCTCCTCCCTTCCTGCTGATGTGGAAATTTTCCTCTGCAGTCCCCAGCCCCCCTTTCTGGCCAGCCAGGTTGTCATGGAAACTGCATCCTGCTTGGGATGGGGGTAGAGAGGGTTGGGAGCGAGAGAGAGGAGATGCTGATGGGGACTCTGGGCTCCCAGTCTGTCCCTTGCTCCTGAGTTTCCGGTCCCCACCCTCAGGCCTGCTACCCACCCCCCAATCCCATGTCTTGGCACCGGTGTTTCTTGTCAACATTCCTCCTCCATCTTTTCCTCCCTTGGTTCTGTCCCTGACTCTCTCCCTCCATCCTGTCTCTGTCTCCGGGCCTCTCCCTGGACCTCCAGCCCTCCAGTCCCGCCCCGCCTTCTCTGGGCTGGCTGCCATTCTGTCCCCAGCTGGGCCAGGCCCGCATTTCCTCCCCACACCAAGTTCCCAGGGAGGCCTGGCCTGGTCGCGCCCCATCTCCCACAGGCAGCAGGAGCTGGAGCCCGGCTCGTCCCAGCCCTGTCGCCCCCGCCCCCAGCCCGGCTCCAGTCTGGCCGCCCATCAGTTCACCTTGACTTCTCACCTTTCATCCACCCCTCTCCCAGCCACGATGCCACCAGCCCCCCAATACTGCACTCTCACTCCCACATCCCGCCTCCCCCCTCCCATTGTCCACGGAGAAGTCCGTGAGGCCCGCGGAGGCCCCGAGGTCCCCCCAAATTGAGGCCCAGCCAAGGCGCCCTGCAGGTGCCTGGCATCGGAGACCGCGGAGGCTGCAGCGGCGGTGCGGCTCCCTGCCCCCAGCCACCACCTGGTACCCGCTGCAGTATTGCCATGGCAACCAGGATCGCGCTGAAAGAGGACGGGAGAGAAAGAGAGCATGAAAGGGAGCGGCGGGGAGCCGGGCTCCGAGAGTCCCAGGTCGACAGGCAGGAGCAGATAGACGCAGACGGGGCCAGAGACCCCAGACGGCCATCGCGGCAGAGGCGGGCGGCTGTCGGGCCCTTAAGGGAAGAATGTGCTTTAGGAGGAGTCCCAGGTGGGGGAGACATAAGACGCTGTGGCGCACAGGCAGCCAGAGAAGGGGGCACAGAGCACACAGGGCCCAGGCCTGCCGAGGGGGGGGGGTCCGGCTGCGCCGAGGGGAAGAGAAGGGCCCAGCCCTGCGTGTCCATGGGCCGCGTCTGCGGGGAGCGGCCCCGAGTGGACCCTCTGCTTCCTTCGGCCTGTGCGGGGCTCGACAGCACAAGACGGCAGCCCTGGCGGGTCCCACCAGCAGCCACTCGCCTGTCCTGGCCGACCCCCGGGGTTCGCTCCCACCTGCTGGCTCCTGTTCCCTCCTGGGGCGTGAGCCCCTGAGCTTCTGAGTGACAGCGCGGCCCCCTCCCGCTCCCTTTCCTCCTGCCTCTGTGTAAGCAAGACGGTAGAGCAGCTCCCTGCGCCTGGCCCGCCTTCCCCCTTTCGGCCTGACCCCCTCGCTCCCTGCAGTGGCTTGTGGGTTTGCAGAGGGGCCGGACGCTCTCTGGTTTGGCTGTTCTGGGTTGAATTGTGTCCCCTAAAAAGATGCTGAAGTCCTGACCTCCAGGACCGTGAGTGTGACCTTATTTGGAAACAGGGTCTTTGCAGATGATCAAGTTAAGATGAGGTCCTGCTGGAGTAGGGTGGGCCCTAATCCCATATGACCGGTGTCCTTATAAGGAAATTTGGACAGAGACAAGCATGCGTGCAAGGAAGACGAGGGGGAGACTCGGGGAGAAGGGTGCGTGGAGACTGGAGTATAGCTGAGCTGGAGGAGGCAAGGAAGGATCCTCCCCCACAGGCTCCCGAGGGAGCACGGCCCTGCCCACACCTTGATCCTGGACTCCTGGATCCGGAACTAGGAGTTGCCCAGCCCCCAGCCCGTGGAACCCCAGCGGCATGAGTGGGGGGGGGGGCGGGTGGAGACGAGGGCCCCAGTACATTCGGATGTGCTGGGTGCCTGAGCCCCTCTCTGGGGCTCCTGAGGTCAAGGGTGAGGGGCCTAAGAGTACCTGGAGGTGCTGACCCCTGTGACCCTCCGGGTGGGGCCCGTAACACTTGACTTTTCCATCCTCATTGTGCCCCCGCCCGCATTCACTGTTTTCTCTGCCCTCCATGCTTTCATGACCAAAAAAAAAAAAATTTTTTTTTTTTTTTACTTTTTCCGTGTTTTTTTTTAAAGTAATTACAGAGCAGGTAGTCGTTGACGCAAACCTCCCTTCAGTATCAAAAGAGTCTGTGGGGCAGGTGAGGGCTGGGGGTGAAGGGGGGAGGGGCGGGGTGGGGTGTCTGGAGGCTCTGACCGCGCGTCTGTCTCTTCAGTTTCGGGGGCAGAGGGGCGGGAGGGGGGACAGGCGTCAAACTGCAAAAAATGAACCGTAAAAGGAGGGTCGTTGGGGATGAGGGGAAAGGACACCCCCCAAAAGCTCCTCTCTCTCCTGGAAGGCGGAGGGCCGGGAAGGGTCGACTGAGAGCGCGAGGAGGCAAAGCGGAGGGTTCCAGCCGCTTCTCCGGAATCCTGCAGCCCCTCCCTTGGCCGGGGATGCGTGGGGGTGCGGCCAGACCCGCGGGGGCTCCGTTCCTCGCGGGGGTGAGCCGCCCTGGGGTCCGCACGCGGGCGGGGCTGCGGCCCCTCCTCCCCGACCGTCCCTGCGCGGTCCAGGCGCGGCCCGGGGCCGTGGGGAGGGTCCCGGTGTGGCCCGAGCCCCGGCGGGGTGCGCGCCCCCGCCCGGCGGCTTCAGATCTGCGTCTCTTGCACGTTCTCCTTGGAACCGCTCTTGAAGAGCAGAGGTTCGTGGATGGAGTTGAGCCCCGGGGGGCCCTTGCCCCCGCAGCCCCCGCCGCTGGGGTTCCCGCTGTAGTGCGCCTTGAAGGCGGCCGCCACGTAGTGGTGGTGGTTGAGGTGGTCGCGCTCCAGGGCGGGCAGGGCCAGGTGGCTGTCCCCGCCGCCGCCGCCCGCACCGGCGGCGGCGGCGGCGGCGGCGGCCACGGACACGGCCGAGGCGGCAGGCAGCTCGTCCTCCACGTTGATGATCTCCACGGTGCGCGTGGGCCCGTGGTGCTTGTGCAGCTGGTGCTGCTTGCGCAGCTTGTAGAAGGCCACGAGCATCACGGCGGCCATGAACGTGATGGCCACGAAGCAGCCGATGATGATCTTGGTGGTCTTCATGACGTCGTCCAGGTCCTTGAGGGCGTTCTCCGTCACGTCCGTGATGGGCACCGTGAACGCCTTCTCCGTGGGCCGCGAGGAGCGCGGGGCGGGCGCCGTGGTGGACGCCGAGGCCGGGCCGGCGGCGTCCCCGGGCCGGCCCCCGCCCCAGACCCCGTCCGTCGTGGGCCCCGGCGGCTCCTTCTCCGTCCCCCGCGGCTGCAGGGTCTCCTCTCCGGGCTGCGTCTCCAGGGTCTCCACGGTCACGGTGGTGAAGTAGGTGTAGCCGCCGCCCCCGCCGCCGCCCCCGCCGCCGCCCCCCGGGCCGCCCCCGCCGCCGGCAGCGCCGGCCGCCACGGGGTCCACGGCCGAGACGTTGAGCGTGGCCGAGGCGGTGGTGTTCCCGGCCGAGTTCGTCACCATGCACGTGTACTGGCCCGTGTCCTGCACCGTGACGTTGGTGAAGTTGAGCGTGCCGTCGTGCAGGACGGAGATGCGCACGCGGTAGGAGCCGTGGGTCATGAGGGTGCCGTTGGGCGTCAGCCAGTTGACGGAGGTCATGGAGGTGCCCGTGCGACACTTGAGCTCGGCGGCCATGCCCTCCGTGACGTTCAGGTCCGTGGGCGGCTCCACGATGACCGGCGCGTAGCAGGTGAAGTGCGACTGGTCCAGCTCGCCGATGTAGCGGCCCTTGAGGCCGGCGGGCGCGTGGCAGCGGGCGCAGCACGTCGTGTTGCTGGGCACCGTCTCCTTGAGCCACCAGCTCAGCCAGAGCACGTCGCAGTTGCAGTGCCAGGGGTTATGGTTGAGGTGGACGCGCTCCAGGCGGTGCAGGGGCGTGAAGAGGTCGTGGGGCAGCGACATCAGGTTGTTGTGGGACAGGTTGAGCTCCTCCAGCGACTTGAGGTCGTCGAAGGCGTTGCGCTCGATGGTGGCCACCTGGGCGTGCATGAGCCACAGCTTGCGCAGGCTGGTGAGGCCCTGGAAGGAGCCGGGACGGATCAGGTCCAGCCGGTTGCCTGACAGCTCCAACTCCTCCAGGCGCACCAGGGCCGTCAGGTTGGGGATGTCCTTGAGGTTGCACATGCCCAGATTGAGGTAGCGCAGGTTGACCAGGCCCTCGAAGGCCGCCTCCGAGATGTACTCCAGCCGCTTGAGCTCGCCCAGGTCCAGGCGCCGCAGGGAGGGCACGCGGTTGAAGGCGTACGACGGGATGCTCTCGATGGGGTTGTTGCGCAGCCAGAGTTCCCGCAGCTTGGACAGGTACTCGAAGGCCTGCGTGGGCACCGTCGTGAGCCGGTTGTCGAACAGCTCCAGCGTGTTGAGGCTGGGCAGCCCGTTGAAGGCACCCACCTCGATTTTGCGCACCAGGTTCTTGCTCAGCTGCAGGATCTCCAGGTGCCGCAGGTGCTTGAACGTGTCCGTCCGGATCACCTGGGGTGGGGGAGGGGAGACACCGGTCAGCGAGGCCTGAACGCCTGGCCCCTCCCTCTTTGCGGGTGGGAGTGTGAGACCGGACGGCCGCTTTGGGAAACAGTGTGTTCCTCACGAGGCTCAACACACCGTGACACACGTTCCTTACGACCGGGCCCGCCCACTGCCCAGTGTTTCCCCGGAGGGAGAGGAGAGCAGTTGTCCTTCCCAGGGTTTGTGATGGGTGCTCACAGCGCCCGTGTTCATTATGGCCTAACCAGACACGACCCGAATGTCTGTCAACCGCTCAAGGACCCACGCTGTGTGTCTGCACCGTGGAACACTATGGCTCCTGAGAAGGAAGCAACTATCCATACACACGACCAATCTCACGGGCGGGCGTCGTGTTGAGCAAAAGAAGCCAGACGTGAAGGAGCGGGAGCGGTAGGGTCCGTCCATGCCGCGTCCTACACGTGCTAAATGGTGGTCTCTAAGTGTGTGGGGGGAGGCCAGGCTGGCAAAGGGCATGAGAGAGCTTTCTGGGGTGATGGAAAGGTTCCCGGCTGGGGTGGTGGCTATCTGGATGAATAAGACTGTCAAAACTCCCCAGACTGTACGGAAAACAGGGGCATTTTGTTATATGTAAATTACACCTCAGGAAAAAAGATTAAAAATACTTACACCAACAGCTAACAGGCACTGAGCCCCATTTTGGCGCCAGACGCCATTCTAAATGCTTTATGGGCAACAACTCATTTAATCCACCCAACTGTCCTACAAGATAGGTACTTACTCAGTATCTGGGACTAGGAAATCCATAAAGCTCCGAAAACAGGAAGATTTTCCCTAACTTTGGTGCCAAATACCATTCGGTGGTAGAGCCTGATCAGAACTCACGTGAAGCTATTTAGAGCTTTTATTGATCCCACTCGTGACTATTCAAACACTTCACTCTAGAACTAGTCCCACACTTGCTAAGGGGTAGAAGGTCCCAGCGGGCGGTAGAAAATATGCGCTGGACATCAGTGCCTCACCTTTTACCAGCAGATGTCAGAACATCTGGCCTCAAGGGCTTCACAGGAGGGATTAT